AAAGTTCTTGACTGCTGAAAGCGTTTCTAACGTCCTAAAGTCTCTGACAACCAGCACTGTAAATGATACCGTGCAGATTTAGCTTTATGTTCTTGATTTTCTTTTTTTAAACTTCAGTATCATTATAGCTGATATATTTTGCAATTTGATAAACTGACTTTGAATAAGTTCTCATATACAGAAAGTGAACTGAACATGAAATCTGCTGAGGTTCTACCCTCTCAGTAATACAGAATAAAAAAAGAAATCTCAGAACTGACTGCTGGAAAAAGTATTTGCCTGTACAATCACTACCTTTGAGTTTCAGACAGCCATCTCGCTCACCCTCAGAAGCATCTGGGGTCTGGAAGTTCCAGAGTTTCCCCCAGAGGCAGCTAACTGCCCACGACCACGTTCAGATGACTTGCAGCCATCTCCAAGGACACAGAGTCCACAGCTTCCTGCCAACCCGCACTGGTGCTCACGCATTCCATCGAGGGGAGCTTCCCAAAGCTCAAAGGGAACCTCTGGCCAGATGTGGGCCTCCTCCACGAGCAAACTGGAGAGCTGGTCATGAGGGATATGGAGAAGTTTGAGGCGAGGCTAAAAATGACTTCTTTGCCTCAGTCTTCACTAGCAACAGCTCCAGCCACACTGCCCGAATGGCAGAAAGTAAAGGTAAGAACTGGGAGAAGGAAGATCTGCCCACTGGAAGTGAAGATCAGGTTTGAGACCATCTAACAAAGGTGCACAAATCGGGTGAGATCTAACCCTGGGTTCTGGGAAATGGCAGATGAAGGTGTCAAGCTGCTATCCAGCATATCTGAAAGGTAACCACAGTGTGGTGAAGTTCCCACTGGCTGAAAAAGGGGACACAAAGCCCCCACTGTCAAGAAGGGGAAAAAGATCCAGGGAACTACAGACCAGTCTGATCTCTGTGCCTGGCAAGATCACAGGGCAGATCCCCTTAAGATCCTACTGAGGGGCATGGAAAACAAAGAGGAGGTGATCAGTGGTAAACAGCATGGCTTCATCAAGGGCAAGTCACACCTGACAAACTTGGTGGCCTTTTATGATGGAGTTACAGCATCAGGGGATAAATGAAGAGAAACTGATGTCATCTGCTGGACGTGTGCAATGGTTTGACACCATCCTCCATGACATCCTGGTCACCAAATTGGAAGAAAGTGGATCTGATGGATGGACCACTCACTGCGTAAGAAATGGGCTCAGTGGTCACACTCAGAGAATTGTGTCAACAGCTTGATGTCCAAGCAGGGACCAGTTATGAGTGGTGCTCCTCAGGGACCGCTGCTGGGACCGGTGCTATTTAACACGTAAGCAACATGAATAGCAAGTCTGGAGATGACTCTAAGCTGAGTGGTGCAGTTGACATGCTAGAGGGAAGGGATGCTGCAAGAGGAACCTGCACAGGATGGAGAGGTGGACTCATAACAGCCTCATGAAGTTCAACAAGGATAAGTGTAAGGTTCTGCACGTGGGTCAGGGCAATGCCAAGCACAGATACAGGATGGGCAGAGAATGGCTTGAGAGCAGCCCTGGGGAGAAGGATTTAGGAGTGCCAACTGATGCAAGATTAAACATGAGCTGGCAACACGCTTGCAGCCCAGAAGGCTGCATCAAGAGAGATGTGACCTGCAGGTCCAGGGAATGATTCTGCACCTCTAGTCTGTCCTTCTGAGACCCCACCTGGAGTACTGCATCCAGGTCTGGGGCCCCCAGCACAAGGACAGGGAGCTGTTGAGCAAGTCCAGAGGAGGGCCACAAAACAGAGGGCTGGAGCATCTCCCCTACAAGGACAGGGGGAGAGAGAGCTGGGACTCTTCAATTTGGATAAGGCTCTGTGGGACCCTTATAGTGGCCTTCCAGTACCTGAAGGGGGCCTACAGGAAAGCTGGGAAGGGACTTTTATAAGGGCAGGTAGTGACAGGATGAGGGGAAACGGTTTTAAACTGGAACAGGTTAGATTTAGACTAGATATTAAGAAGAAATTCTTTACTGTGAGGGTGGTGAGACACTGAAACAGGTTGTCCAGTGAGGCTGTGGATGCCCCCACCATGGAAGCATTCAAGGCCAGGCTGGACGGGGCTGTGAGCAACCTGGGCTAGAGGGAGGTGACCCTGCCTATGGCAGCAGGGTGAAGCTAGGTGATCTGAAAGGTCCGTTTCAGCCCAGAAGGCTCTATGATTTAAGTTGAATTCTTTAAGTGAGTGAGGCTGAAGTTACTCACTAGGTAGGGTCTTCAATACACCAAATGTAAACTCCATGGCTCCTCTGTTGAACACACAGAAACACAAAGAAAGAGAGCAAGTTGCCCAATCTTTACTGAAGAAATACTTCAGTTTACCACTCAACTCGCACACTACAAGCTCAAGATGCAGTAGGGTTCTCCCAAATATGCCTAAAAACAATTAAAAGCGGGTGAAGACACTTTATTCTCCTGCTACAGATTACAGATTCTTGTTTATTAAGGTAGTGATAGCACTTCTAGGTTTATGCATTCTGCTTAAGCTTTGGAATCAAGGTAACCACCAAGGTGTGTTTACAATTAGATTTAGAGAGTATTCATTTGACCATATGTACTCTTCAACCAATACCTACTTTGGAATTACTAACAGAGTTATTCGTACTACTATCTCAGAAGGTCAGTGCTGTTCTCCCTTGTTCTCCAAAATCCACTCTGAAGAAGTGGTAAACGTTAGGAAAGAAAGCAAACATGGATGCTAGTCACCTCCACCACCATAGTCACAATCACTCCACGTTACTTACAGGGGCAGAGAAACTTCCTTGGTCATTTAGCAGCCTGAAATCGAGGTTCTGAACAGCCCCAAGCTCAGTCACTAGCTATCTCACCCTGCAAGGAGGGCACAGGCAGGTTCCCAATTCAGATACACTGGACTGCCCTTTGGAGCAGCCTGCATCTCCTGAGCAAGTGAAGCCCCAATCCACACCTTTACCACTTAATTAATTGGCACTGTCATGATTTCCCTCAGTATTCCCACCACAAACATGCTATAAGCAGTAAGTCACTGCACACCACTTCAACTTCCCCCTCGCAGGGAAGAGCAAAAAGCAGCACCACCAAGAAATCCAGACATGGTAACATAACGTCTCCTCTGTGCGAGCTGCTGGAACATCATCTTCCAGATGCCTCAGAAAGAAGCTGCAAATGAAGCTGTTAAATGGAAGAACTGTTTCTAGTCTTTCTCAATTTCTGGATCAGTAGAGAAAGCACACCTTCCCCCAGACCCACGGTGCTGCTTCTGACGGGACGCAAGGCATTCATCACTCAGCATAAAGCTGAGGCCCTGTTATTCACAGGAGTTACCTAACCCAGCAGCTTCTCCTATTAGCAACACATTTGCTCCTCAGTAAGGCTAACCAGGAAGTCAGGGAGCTGACAGCCCTGAAGTCTGTAACAATACAGCTGCAGCCTCACTGAAAACAAGATTTCCACCACAGCAGGTTGACACTGCCTTCGTAGAATTCATCCGTACTTGATGGAGACAGGAATGCCTCTTCCAACTCCTGCCCATGGGTAATTTGGTCTACCTTCTTACAGAAAGCACCTCTTATTCCTGACAGACACCCACCAGCATTTCTTTTGCTGCCTTCATGAATTAACACCAAGTGACCCCGCTAAGACTTCACAGAATCACAAGGTTGGAAACAACCTGCAAGATCATCTAGTCCAACCACCCTCCCATTCCTTCCCCCTGGTTAGATCTGCATGCATTCTGTGCTACACACAGGAGAGTCTGCAGAGAGTTCATATGAAAGCACAACAGAGACAACTGGTCAGTAATACATATGCACCTGATTTCAGGAAGCATGCTTCAGAGTGACAGAATGGCCTCGCTGGTCCCACAGCTTAGTCTAACTATGCCAGGAGGATGCAGTTTGAAGAGGATCAGAAAAAGGAGTTGAAGGCAGAGGAAGGAAGGAGCTGGAAAAGCATACTGCTACTGGATTTGGTCCCTAAATTAAGTCAAGGTATATTTTGTGATTAAAGTTCTCTGACAGCCATTAATAGTAAGTCTGCTGATGCTCTCAGCTAGCCTCTTAACTTCTCAGCCTACTTCTGTCACGATCCCAGCATACATTCCAGTGTTTACATGCTATTTATCATCCCACAGGATGTATGCTAACTTCAGAATCCCCAAGACAAGTGAAAATAACACATCATGCCACGCTACGTGCTCTGCAGCTGTAGAATTCTAGCCATTACATAGTGATTAAATGCTGTATGTTTAGTACTACCTTAGCACTTCTAACAGTAGCTAGGGCTCTACTGAAAGCATTCATAAAGAAAGCTACAACAAGCACACACTCATCTGGCTTTTACTGGCACTATTCCTCCAGCTTTCCAGTTACAGTGAGGACCTTCAGCTCTGCACAACAGCAGACTCACTGCTGTCACAGACAAGACGTGCTGTTGTCCTTCCACCTCTTCTTCATAAATGCTACGCCCTCAGCTAACAGAGGGTACCAGAATTATGAGCTCAGTAGAAGGGAAACAGTTAAGATAAGCAAGGAGTCATCTGCTAGAACTAAAGGGTGTGTGAGGGCATGACAAGTGGTGGAGAAGAACTGCATGTTTTTGTCAGCCTTTTTTAAAAGGCCGCTGCTGTTTCCTTACATTTTACTTCGTGTACAGTATCAACACTGGAGCCTTCTTTTGTCATATATGTGTTTTCAAGCTCAAATGTCTGTCCTAAAGCAGAGCTTCCTGCACAAAACTGCCACGACTCAGTACTTGATTCAGTCAGACTTAATGGATCCATGAGCAAAACTACACTAAAATCCCTTCTCCCTATGGCTGAAGGAATTGGATGATCCAGGGCTTGTGAAGAACAGGTTACAAACTACACGCTGGGCCACAAGACTGAAGCTGTGATCACAGAAGCAGTTAACACTGAGAATGCAGCATTATTTGTTTTACATTCTAAACCTAGATCAGTAATTACAGCAGAGTAAAATTAAGTGAGCATTGGAGGTACCTTTTGAAATAGTTAGTGCTGGGGACCACTGTGATCGTAGAATATCAAGACAAATGCTGCCATTACTGTTAATATTTGGATGATAGATTCTTGTTGTAAATGCAACCTGCAGAAGAAGGAAAATTTCAGTGTAGGCTCACAAATGTACATTACAGCACACGGTAAGCTACTGCACAGGACACTCACCTTAGGTGGTTTGAAGGGATAATCTGTTGGGAAGTGAATTGTCAAGAAAAATACTCCACCTTGATAGGGACTGTCGTTCTGTTAAGGAAAAGGAAACGTTGCAGTTCAGTTTTTACAAGAAGACTGGTCATAGAAACTATGAACATCCATTCTCTCATACTTACTGGTCCCATTATTGTAGCTTGCCAATGGAACACTGAAAAAGAAAGAGATTTACTTCGGTTTGGAGAAGCTCAAGTAATGAATACTTAACGCCACAAGAAAGCAGTACAGAAGAGTCTATTTTAAAAACAAAACCTCCTGAGAAACTGCGAGGACACCAGCCAAAAATCTGAACAGAGACAGGGAGATGCACTCTGTATTTCCTGTACATTCGGTCCACGCTTTCAGAAACTGCTGTGGTAGATACCTGTGCTGCACCCTGAAAGAAACCCCAGCACAACAGAAACACAGCGTTCACTCACTGTTTCAGACCCAACAAGTTTGAGCATTCAGTCAGGTAGTTCCCAATGAAAGTCTACCATTACCTGAATCAAGCCCACTTTCCAACAGCTGCGCTGCCCTTTCAGAGCAAGTTACAGCAAAGGCACAGAGGAATTTCATCCCTTTCCTCAACAGGATCTCCTCTGCGTGGCTCCTTCACTGAACAAAGGGTAAACCTGAGCAGTGTGCATTCCACAGGTAAGGAGCTCACCTACAGCCAGCAGCGTCCTGACCCAGCATCTACCTTCAGCCTCCACAGAAGCACGAAAATTCCATTAAAGCACAGAAAGTAACACAAGTCACAGAAGAACCTCAGAATGAGTCTGCTAAACACTTGAGACCAGTGTGCCAGAATGCTGTAGGTTAAATGGAAAAAAAGTCAGTCTCACTCATGCGCATCTGTCCAAGAGAACATCTTAATCTGGTAATACAGAAGGCTTGTGAAGAACGTCTTTATGCTGCAGGACAGAAGGAAAATAATCAGTGCTGTTAGTCTGCAATAAAGCTCCCCCATATGTACTTCAGGGCTCCTGCTTTCTCCTAACACCCCAAGTTCACAGCACACTAGTTTAACGAGTTATTTGTCAGGTATTATGGGAATTTTCCTCTGCCAGGATGTTGGCTGCACCTCACCTTTAGAAGTGGGGAGCAGAACACAAGCTGGCCCAGCTGTAGGAGCCAAGTCTTTAAGGCACAGAAGTTGAAACCATCTGCAGCTGCGCACTTCAGGTGCAACCAGTGCCCTCAGCTTCCACCCCCGCCCAAAGGTGGTTGTGACACAGTAACACTGTGTGCCTACTCTGAGTTGCTTTCAGTCACAGCTGTACAGGCACTACAAGCGAGTGTGAGCTCAGAAAGAATGGAAAAACGACAGTAGAGACAGCCCTGCCAAGTCTGAGTAGAAAAGCAGCTGGTTCAAGCAGCAGCTTCTGTAACAAAGGGCGTTACAGCTGCTGACTGCAGCCAGCAAGGGAAAAGGACATTCAGCTAGGCTCAGGAAATGAAGACAATGCCTCGCTTCCAAACGCGATGTTTGCCCGTTTTAAAAGGTTCAGGCAGCTCCAGAGCAAGTCCACTGCTGGCAGCTGGAGGGGGGAAGGCTGGAACAAGAGGACAAAGAGGTGGCAAAAAGACCGTGAGGAGTGCAGCACTACAGAACACTAAGATTCTCACATGCATCAGTGGATGCTGGTTAAGGCTGACTCCAGCTGTGCTGAATATATAAAAATACTGGATGTTAACTTGAACACCTCTGCATGCTAGGAAGATCAACTGTGACACCTCATCACAGCCTTCAACCAGGAGAAATCAGAGTTATACTACAATCTGGTAATGTAACCCCAACCCTATTTCCCAAACAGAGAATGGAGCCAAGTGGAGGATGACAAAACCACCTTATCCAGAGAGAAACGTATCCAGTCCCTGCAGTTGACTAAGCAGAAGCAGCTTTTCCCATTCCAGAGTGTCATAGAACCATGACACAGAGTTAATGTAACACTGGGATGAGCTGCTGACACGAGGAGACAGTTTACATCAGCTGGACGAGGAAGATACCACTCTGAAAGCACAGCATGTTCTGAACCCTGAGAAACATTGTGACAAGGCAAGCAGGCAGGCCTCGAGCACAACCAGCACTGTGAGAACAGCACCTTCCCCTGCCCCTGCTGTTCAGTTACACACCAGAGGGTGAGCTCTCAACAGTGCATGATTTTCAAGGATCCACCAGCAAGGTGACACAAAGACCTGGGTATTACTGCCAAATCAAGAAAGCTTTGAAGCCGCCCTCAACCACTGCTCAGCTCACGTTACCACCTCCTCCAGCACCCTGACTGGCCGTGACACGCTTCTGAAACAATAAAGCAGATCATTATGGCACCAGAAAATCCTCAGACTGGCTCTGCACCTTACTGAATGCCCTCCCACACACCTGCAAGCTCCTTAGAAATACCATTCCTAAAGCAGGAAAGTGGCAGAATGCCTACAAGTACTGCTAAAAGCCCTCAAACCAGGTACAGCTTCCACTTGCCTGAAGGCACTGCTAAACAGTAATGCCTCCACAAAAAGAGAAATAATCAGTCTCTTCATTCTTCAAAGTGCTCTTTTTAACCTAGTCTAAGACTCACGAATTTATGTTTCTATGCACTGCAGAACTTGCCAATAGCTCAAAAGAGATTAACTGCTACAACTGATCAGAATCACTCTCGTAAGAAGAACCCCCAAGCCTATGAGCTCTCAGCACAGATGGAAGCCTCCCTTCTCAACACTCCTTGCTCCTACAAGCTTGGATGCCAGGCTGAGCAGCTGCCTTGTCAGGGATGCTGCTGCACAGCTGGATGCACCCCTGCAACAGCTGAACTGCTCTTATGCAGCCTCTCTGACATGGCAGAGCCTCTACAGAAGCATCAACACATTGCCTTATCTCAGGCATTTTATGCTTTAAATACTCAGGCATTTCATACACACTCATCTGGATTTTCCCCAGGGCAGGTTGTAAAGTTACAAAGCAAGAGGTGACCTTACAAGTGGTCCTGCCATTGCAGGCACCTTACTGACCTGGACCATCTAAACTGGGACCAAATGCTTAATGCTGATACAAAAAAGAAATTGCACTTTACCAAGAAGTGAGAAATGTTGATGTTAGAAGGCCTGAGCAACTTGTGAAAGGTTCAGTTTAAAAGCAAAGGCCTCTCTCAATAAAAAAAACCCACAACCCAACACCAATGGCTGCAGTAGGGGCCAACAATTAAGCTCTGTTATTCACAGGTGGTCCAGCAGCCTGGGCACCACGATCCAGAACTACAATAAGAAAGATCTATGTGAAGCCTATTAAATCATGCAGTGCATCTTGCCCTGTTCTAGGAGAAAACACACAAGCAAGGTAACAGATCTTAGCACAAAGAAAAGAAATGCAGAGGAAGGCTCTGAGCAATAACAGCCTCCTTCCACACGGCTCTCTGAGCTTCAAAAGGAGCAGAGAAAGATGCCCAGGTCTCCATACCAGGAGAACTCAGAGCAGCTGGTGCCTGGGCCAACAAGGCAGCCCAGCTGTTCCTTCCCAGCACGCTGCTCCCTTCAGGGACCTGGCAGAGCCAACTGCTTAGAGAGGATTTAAGCACACCAGTACCTTGCAATTGAAGGATCCTCTGCCTGCACTTCATCTCGTAGCTAAGCACCCACATACAAATCCAGTGACAAAGCCGTCACCACAGCAAGACCTGCACGTTCAGATTTTGCATACTCAGAAGTCCTGAAGGAGCAGCAGATTGAGTTAAGCCCTGCCTGAAGGTCTCAACTTTTCTTCAGTCCTTACGCTGGCATACCCTATAGAGCAACAGCACAAACCAACTGAAAGCAAACAGCTTTTTCAAGTGTTCCTGTAACTTAAAAACCAAAAAATACTTTATAATTCAAGCTTCAATTCACTAATTAGTGTTCCTTCCATTCACATTTTACCTTGCTACCCTCAAAGACTGTGCATTACCTCTTTAGGAAATGCAGTGGTTGCTTTAAGTCCTGTGTAAAATATAGTTAACTGTGACCTTGATGTACCATCACCCAGCATTGGAGCAGACTGCTTTACTTCCACAGGACCACGTGAGCACACTATACATAATTTAGGTACCAAACAAGTTTTGTCAGCTGTAGAAGACTGCACACTGGTTGGGCCAGGGTTGGGCTGCAGCTCAGTGTGCACTGACTGCACATGTTGATACGAGAATGCCAGAGCACTGGGGGAGGAAACAGAGCTCCCCATGAAACAGGCATAGATCTCAGGTGATCCACAGGGATGGCATCACAGGTACAAGTGTCAGGCTGGCGTGGGGAACAGTCTCCAGTACAAGTTCTCCTCATGGAGGAACCAGGTGCCCTGTTTTAGAAGGAAAACAGTCCACACGTGCACACTAACAGTGCCATACTTACTGTCATCACCAACAGGCCCTGCTGAACACTGTGCTGGAGGATCACGTGCCAGATCATTCAATTCCTAGGAAAACAAAAAAACAGGAACAGTTGTTTCATTTAATTTCAACACCACTCACATTATTACTGTTACAAAAGCTGCTGGTGGCACTCAGGCCATTATTAGTCCTGCTCTTTGTGGGAGCACTGCTCATCAGCTGCACGCATCAGTGAGGTGAGAGCACAGGGATGTACCACCACCAAGCCAACACCCCAGGACACAAAGTCACTCCTGAAATCAATGCCACATATTTGGTGCACACTCAGTTACCCCTCCTGGGTTTCCTGACACTCCACTCACACAACCCTCACGAGGTCACAGGGTCTATCAGCTTAATTTCACCTTCGCTGAGAATAAAGCTCAGAACCTGGACTGCACCCCAGATTTCTCATGCATGGAACCACGGAGCCAGAGCAGCTCCAAGCGAACGACCCGCTGCCAGCCCTCCCCCTCCCTGCCCCACAGCAGCTCCCGAGCACTTTCACTCACTGCAGAACTTTGCTCACCCTGCTGTTTCATCAGGCTACAGGTGGTTGTACAACAAAACACAAGGCTCTGGTAACCAGCTCGAGTGCATAGATACAACGCCACACTTCTGAAGCAGCTGTATCAGACAAGCAATCCTCTGACAAGTTCCAAAGCACAGCTGCGTGACGTGAACCAAACCACCCCAACCTCCAGCTCGGAGCAGGCCTTTGGCTGGGCTCAGGGCCCACAGCCACCCACTGCTCACACCTGCAGGCCGCTCAGGAAGCGGGCACTGAACAACACACTCAAATGGAATAAGACCCCAAAACCCAACCATTTGTGTCGTGCCAGGCTTAGACACTGAGCCCAGCCCCTTGTGGACTGGGGCTGAAACAGACACTGAGCGTGCAGCGCCTGCCGAGCGGCTACAGCACACCTGAAGGTGGGCAGCACCTCCAAGCCTCTCCATTAAACAAGAGGGAAGCCCTTCACAGTTGCAAGTAGGTTCAGAGCAGCCAATTTTAGCCCTGCGAGGATTCCCTTCTTCCTCCCTGACTGAAACATGAGCCAGCAAAGAGCTCCATAAAGCACTCTCTCCCCATCATCACACTTTACACCACCCACTGCACACCTGTTCTCAGCCCAGAACATTACATACACCAAGCTCCAACCCGAGCTGCAGAACTCTGCTTCATCCTGCAGCAGCGTGCACTGCGACAGCATTCACAGAGAGGCGGCCTCAGAAACACAGCACCCCTCAGAGCAGTGCCCTGAGCTCTGCTCCAGCCCCAGCAAGCCCAGCAGAGGCTGTGCAGCCAGCTCTGTGCCTTCCTGCTCAGCTGACAGGCACGTGTCCCTCACACAGAGGGCAGCAGCTCTCTATACACACACACATACACTGTAAGTACAGACATAAGAACATAAAAGTATAAATAAAAATTCAGGAGCATACCTCACTTTTCCAAGAGCCTGTAATAACTGCGTGAAGCACAGTAACTTCCGAATGCTATTGACCCTGATCTCCTGGAGAAGGCAATTTAATGCTACAGTACTAAGAATTCTAAACACATCCATTAGCAAAAAACACCTAAAGCCTCTCCTCTGTATCAGCTGCTAACCTCTTCTCCCCCGCTGTGCACACCTACAACGCAGCAAGGCCACCCTGGGGAGGAATACAACTGCAAGAGCACACCTGTGTCATGTTAGACCACAAGCTACCACTGCCTAGGTTTCAGAGCCCAGCACACATCTCCTCCACCACAGCTGGGAAACCAAAGGTGCAGCTGGCAGAGCTGCCCTGCAGCAGCACCTCCCCAGCACCCCATGTGGCCCCGCTGCAGGCAGGGCTCACAGCAGCAACGCAGCAAAGCTCAGTCAGCAGCAGCACCCCTTCTCATCAGGGCACTGCTTCCTTCTCTTCAACGTGGAGCCCCAGGCAGAAGGGATACTTCAGCTTTTGTATGTGTGCACAGTACCTCACTGCAGAGGTGACTGGGTCACACCACGGGGGTCACTGTGCAGCACTCCCCGCAGGGAGCATTTCAGGCTTTGCTTTACAAACTCACAAGTTGCAGCACCACTGTCTGAAAGGCCCATGTAAGTGATGCACAGACTCCTTGCACTTACAGAAGTTTTGAAACAACTTCTAAATTAAGCTCCTGCAACGCAAAGCCCCACAGCTGCTGCAGGGCAGCCAAAATAACAGCAGAAAAGCTGGACCTCCACAGGACACCTCTGGAGCACAAGCACTAGCTGCACATGGCACTACCCCTACAGCCTCAACACTGCAAGGGCCAACTGCAGAACGGTGGGGTTGGGAGGGCCCTAACAGCACCCTATCCTCACCCCTGCCACGGGCTCAGTGCCCCCAACGGCTCAGGCTGCCCGGGGCCCATCCACAGCCTGGGGCACCTCAGCCCTGGGCAGCAGTGCCAGGGTTTGAAACTTCCTCCTCACACCTGAGCTAAGCTCCCCTCTCTCTTAACTGAGAGCCATCACCACACTTCCTGATACACGAGAGGCGCTCCAGCTCCACAAGCACCCTGGTGGCGTCTCCCAAGCTCACTCCAACAGCTCCACATCTCTCCCGTGCTGGGCCCCGGAGCTGAATGCTGTGCCGGTCCTCACAAAAGGGGACAGCCCCCTCCTTCACCCCGCTGCAGCCCAGGACACAGCTGCCTTCTGGGCTGCCAGCACACAGCCGGCTCACTGCTCTCCACCCACCAGCCCTCCCCACAGGGCTGCTCAGGCCATCGGCACTCAGTCTGGGATGGGGAGCAGCCCCCATCCAGGAGCAGCACCCTGCATTTGGCCCAGATCATCTTCAAGAGGGTCACATGAGGCCACCTCCCAAGCCTGCCCGGTTCCCTGGGTGTCACCCACCCCCGCCCTCCAGCATGTCAGCTGCACCACACAGCTTGCTGAGCCTGCACTCGCTCTGCCATCCACACCACTGCTGCATTAACACAGCACAGGGCCTCCTAGCAGGGCACGGATACCACACTTAACACAGCTTTCTCTTCAAGCTGCCCACGTACTACCCAGACCTCTACCAGTCACTTATCAGACTTGTAGGGCCAAGTTTAAAAACAGGAATGATAGTTACACGCAGCTACACCAGACCGCGCACAAACAAAGCAGGGCATCCAGAAGGTTACCTTGCCTTTTAGAAGCTGTTGGTGCAGTTCACAAGGCAGAGCACCCCAGCCTACCCAACACTTGGTTTCCAGATGTTACTGAGGGACAGAAGAAACACTGTCTTAAATCTGAGCTAATTACTCAGGTGCTCATATGAAACTAACTTCTCATACACAGAAGCTTCCACTGCAGTTTGGTGTCACCTACAAAGCTGACATCGCCAGCTATCAGGCCCCAACCTGCCCTATTCTCCCTCTGTGCTCACTGACCAGGTCTTGACAGCACTGCTATCAAACCAGCACCTGGAGGAAGCTGCAGCTGGCTATCAGTTGAGTTTCTGGTGCAGAAGGCTTTGCTGGAGGAATGTAAAAGCCAAAGATCAGGCAGCCTTCAGGCAAGTTCCAGCGGAGGTTTTTGGCTCCTAGGAGCCTGCCCCCAAGCGCAGTGGGACAGGGAGCTGCAGGGCTGCTCTCTCCTCCACGGCGCCAGGCCCACTGCTGAGGATCGTACCATCACTCAGGCCTAACTTAAAAGTTTTAATTACCGCTCAGCAAAAGTAAGGAACCGAAGGCACGATGCAAAGCACAGTTCAAGTACCTTGCCCAAAGAGCAAGTCGTACGAAACTACATCTGGGAAGTGGGCATTCCAGTAAAGCTACAAGTCTTGCACAAGAAACAGCCCTGCTGGTGCTCGAGTTCCCCACAGAAAGCACAGCCCCACGCGGCGCTCCAGGAAAGCGTTTCAGAAGAGATGCAGTGTGTGACACAGAGTGCCTCACTGCACCAAGGCCAAGCTGAGCAGCGAGGAGGGGCATAGAGTGAGCCTGCAGCCCTGCTCAGAGCCACCACCTGCCGCCCTGCCCCCACCGTGCCGCTTCCCAACGGCATTTGGAGCTGAATCGGGGACTCCACGACAGCGCAAGAAGTTCTCAAAAACAGGAGCGCTCCAAGTTCCAGCTTCAAGCTTCACCTTGCACACGTTCCAAGCTTTAACTCATTTATTTGTAAACTCCAGAGGCATTTGTCACAGATGCACGAGTTCACTTCCCCAGACAACGAGCCCCACGCTGCCCATCTGCTGCGTGGCAGGGCGGCCCTGGCCAGCAGACAAGGCTGCTTTAAGGATTCTGTCCTGATTGCGGCACAACAAGCAGCACCAAGCAGCCAGCCGGGCAAGAGGAGGCTGCTGTCCCGGGGCAGCTCCTCAAACACACTCCAACGCCTCAGACAGGACTCCAGTCAAAGATTACGCAAAGCCGTGGTCCCTCCTCCTCACTCCAGTTTGAGCTGCTTTCAGAAGCTCTAATTGACTCAGAGACCACATCATTAGCTTGATTGTAAGCCTTATTTTCACTTACAGCAGCAGCAACCTCACAGCAAAATAAGCTTTTAATCTGTCTTCAGCAAGAATCTTTGCCTGAAGCCCCCAAATCCCTTAGTGACAGGCAGCCTAGGACTGTGTCATAAAACTGTGATTTAACTCACCAAAAAGGAACTTGGAGCCACTCAACCACCATTTCCTGGCAGCTTTAAATAGATCATTGCCAAGCAATACATAACAGAGCCAATGACCAATAGCACTGCCTGCCAGCAACCTGCACAGGTCCACACGTGTGGAAGGGGCAGCAAGGCCCCCCAGCCTGCCCCACAGCACAGCTCCTGCACTTACCTGACACAGAAGCCAGCACACAGGGCAGGCTGTGAAGCAACACAGCTCTGGCTCCGTTTGTCAAGGCAGCACTCACAGAGGCTCCAGCATCCAACTGTGGGTTCCAAAGGCACTTTTGGTCTACAAGACTCTGCAACTCCAAAATAGCTCCCATTCTAAGGCCGCTTCTTCCGAACAACAGAAACATTTTGATCTTCAGAAGGATTTGAATCCTTCTCCTTTCACAGAATCTGCCTTTCTGGGGCACGGAATGGCTTAGATCCACTGGCCTTCTTGACAACACTTGCACATGAGAAGGCAGCATAAGAAAAGCCAAGCTTAATGAAACACAGAGCCTGCCAGGGTACGCTACAACGAGCTCTGATGTAAGCATCAGTCACCTTTCATCTTCTTTCAAAGCCTGAACAGCAAGAAAACCAAGGCAGCACCTAACTTCCTCTGGGTGCAGGGACCGAGCGCTGCAGAGCCCAGGCACCAGGCGGGAGCCGAGCTGGGCAGGAAGCACTGAGCTGCTCCCTCGAGCTGCTGTGAGGCCAAACTACAGCACAGACAGAACAGTCCAGAGGCAGGGAGCACACGGATTGCTTGGCGCTGCTCAGTTGCCCAGTAACCCCAACACAAGGCAGCCAGCAGCCCAGCAGCAGCATCGCTACAGACACCCGACAGAGCTGTGCGCTTTACAGCAGAGGCCCGCAGACGAGCGCTAAGGCAGCATCCCCAGCACAGCTCCTCATTCCCTGCTCCCTCACTGCAGGGCCCACCACAGGGAGCCCACAGAGGACCAAGTTCACCTTCCCCTTGCTCTCCCACTCCAAGCAGGGCCTTGCTTGCTCTGTTACAAGGGTAGGGATAAGGCTGAAATCCTGAAACAAGCACCATCTGTTACAGTCCTTCAGCATTACCCCTCCCTAGCCCTGTATGTCCTCACATGGCATTTCTTCTGAGATATTGGTAATGATCAAATATATGAGTTATAGTAAACTGCTACTCCCACACTTCACGGCTACTTCGGCCGCCATGACGGCACGCATCCCAGTTTGCCCAGAACTAAACACTTCTAAAACCTGGAGCTCCTTCCTCATGAAATCCGAGTGCCAGTGGAGAACCTTGGGAGAATTAAGAGCACTGCAGGAACACCACAAGCAGCAACTTGAGAGCAGCTCCTCTGTGTGTGATCCCCCTGGCAGCATCTGCTCTGAGAACAGCTGCAGAGCTGGCACAGCAGCTCCAGGCCTGGACAGCCCATCAGCCCCACAGCTGGCAGCACCTCCACGCTGACAGCAAGACTTCTAGTCAGATGGCAGGCAGCTTTGGGCTCTGCCCCACTTCCAGCCCAGAGGGGCTCGGTGTGCCAGACACCGCTTCGTGCAACAGCAGCTCCAGGGCATCAGAGGTTTGTTCACTCCTGGGGTTTGCTGCTCATTCCTGAAGTTCTCATCCCTGTGTTGTCCAAGAACTCTGCAGAAAGCCTCATGCACGGTCTGTGGTAGGGAATAAAATCCAAAGCACCAGGCATAAACACCAGGGGCAAGATGCAGACACGTACACTGGCGCATCGAGACTGATGCATCCTCCAAAAAAATGCCTGAACACCAGCTTTCCTCTCCATTGCTTCTTTGTACACAAGCCTGCTGGGGTTACTTCCACTTAATCCACACTCCACAGCCTTTTGTTCCTGTCACCAGATGCAACAGCAGAGGCTGGAGCCACTGATCAGGACAGGGCCAACACTGCTGCAGCTCCTGCAGACAGGGCAACACAGGCAAGATGGGCATCCCACAGAGCTCAGCACAGCCCAGGTGAGAGCAGACACTGGTAGGCAGCTGAGCAAGGCACCACAGCACTCCTCCACCTGCAGCCCGACTCCAGCTAACTCTCAGAGTACCCAGACGAGCAGCTGAGCATCACATCACAGCCCTGACCAAAGCTTTTTGCTTGCAGCACCATTTCCACTGCACTGCTCAGCACTTTGCCGAGCTCTGTGCACCACTTACACAGCCCATCCTGCCTCAGGTTCTTCAACCTCCGAGGAGCAACACAAACAGCCCACCCATGCTCACCAAGGGACAGCACACTCCCATTTCTCCTCCTGAAACATGAACAGCAAGCAAAGCAAGCGCTGTTTCAAGGAAGGAACTCTGCTGATCTGCCGGTGGCCCCGAGGCAGGCACATCACCTCGCACTGTCAGCTGCCCTGTGCTCACAGCTCTGTCCAGGCAATCCCGGCGCTGCCCCAGACCAACGCTCCCCTCCCAGCCCCGGCATCAGAGGCTTCCAGAACGACCGGGGAGCCGCAGGGGAAGAGGCCTCGATCATCTACCATGTCGCGTTGAGTATCGCCACGTTAAGTGACCGAAAGCGTCGGATCGGACCGATACTGAACTGGAACGCCGCTCCCTTACGTAACCGGTTACCGCGCAAGTTCCAGTAACTAAAATTACAGCGGAACGGCCTGCCCGCCGCTGGGTGCACACAGCGCGCCGCTCTCCTCAGCTCCGAGCGGCTCGAACCGCAGCCCAGCTCCGGCCGCGGCAAACACGCCCAAACGCGGCCCTCGTCCGGCGCCGCAGAGCGTGGCGCGCCCGGGGCGCGGCGAGGAGCCCAGCGGGCCCGCGGACGCCGTGCCCGGCCGGGCCGCCACCGGCCACAAGCCGGCCTCGGTGCGGGCCGCAGCTTCCCGGCTGAGAACCGCCCGCGCCGCGTCGGCCTCCGCAGCGCCGGGCCTCCTCCGCCCCGCTCCGCTCCGCTCCCCGCCGGCGGCCCCGCGCCCCCTGG